AATAATATGAAAAATAATTATTTAGAGAGTGCCATTACTTTTGCATAGGTTGGATTGAATATGTAATTTACCTTAAAAGAAAGTACAGTTCACTAGCCAAACTATTGGTGACTTTGGACTTAATTCATTAAAAAGGACCAATTGTGTCAAAAATGCAAAGATTTGAAAAAGTCATTGCCAAGATTTAGAAGTTTGAACAAATAGACAAAATGTACAAAGGTTTGGAATCATTTGCATCAATTTCTCAATCAAATGAGATTATCATGGCAATATATATATAAAGATTCGTTTTTGTAATTGAAAAGTTCTACTAGCATAATTCCAAGTGGAAATGTTCCAAGGTTTTTTATTATTTTTAACTATAAAGCCAGCCGGCTGTTGATGTAGCCTTCAAATTTCATCACCAGTTGTAACTATATGGTCATCATGTTGGACACTTACAAAATAAGGTAGTCATCCCTTGCATCACCCCCTCTGGTTTGGTCCTTCATCAAAATCTGATCATGCGTAAAATAATGCAATATATACATACATATACGTACATACATATATATATATTTGAAAATGTAATAAAAGTCATCATGCCATCTATTTATGAATATTATGCACATAACACCCTCTTTATAAAACAATCGATTCGCATATGAAGGAATGTGTTGAAGATTAATGAGTAAGCAAAAGCATGTTTGTATATGCTTAAAAATTTCTTAATAACCAAGTTTTAGAATAACAATAATTTTTTTATTAGTCGAGTAGGAAATAAGTAATTTCTACTAAAGTAAGAGTTACTTTCAAAACAAATAATTTTTTCTAAGAAACTAATGTATACATATTTGAAGATAAAAATTAATTAAAAAAATAACTCACAATTTTTAATGTTAACCAAATATGCTCTGAATGTGCTCTAGATCAGTTGGTAAAAATATATATATATATATATATATATATATATATATAGCAGTCAGAGATGGGCTATTGGAAGCCGGTGTTTTTCCCTATAATGGGTTTACTTTGGATCATTCAGTGGGTACCAAGATGGGTGGTTCGACATTCGACAGTTCTGGTCGTAGACACAGTGCTGCTGATCTTCTAAGCTATGCGAAAGCTTCGAATATTCGAGTGGCTGTCTATGCAAGTCTTGAAAGAATTCTTTTAGCCTCTTATTCGCTGGATCTAAAATGGGCAATAGGAGTGGTTTTTCGGGACCAAACAAGGCCACCCTGCAATGGTGCATGAAAAGGGAGAGGTTTTTGTGCTGGGGCTCTCGGAAGCCCAAGGTCGAGAAGTCCTCATTCCAATCACTTGTTCCTGTACAGATCTGTTCTTCGAGGCAGGTATAAACTACACTTTACCTGAAACTATGACGGTGTCAGAAATTTCTTGTACAATATTTGTAGGTTTAGTAAAATCAGTTACACCGAAAGAAGAAGATTTTCCAGGATTAAACAGTCTTAGTGCTGGTTCGAATCTTCATGTACCTTTGAAGTGTGCTTGTCCTGATAAAATCTCTAGAAATTCAGGGGTTAGGTACTTTGTCACATACCCTTTTATTGAAGGGGATGATACAAAAAAATTGTGTCTTAAGTTCAATATTTCAGTTGAAGAAATATGGAAAACCAATAATTTAGATCCCACAACTACTGTATACCCCAACACAACTGTTTTAGTACCACTGAAAGCAAAACCATTCGCCAATCTCAACAGTCCAAATTCTGAACCTCCCATTCCGGGTTTTCTTCCGACAATTCCTGTCGACAAACGAGCAAAAATCATACAGCTAAAGAAGCTCTGTATTGCAGTATCAGTTGCTGGGTTTTTCCTCATTCTTGCTACATTAGTTTCATGTGGTCTATACGTCAAGGCTTTGTATAAATTCAAATCTGATAAGTTCCGTACTTCCATGCATCGAAGCTCGTTGAATTCGTGCTCAACCCCAAGAAGCTCCCCGTTATCTGGACATCCAACTGGAGGCTCCACGAATTCATGTTTGTCTCCTGATCTGCTTGTTGGGATAAAATATTCTTTGTGCAATTACAGTGTGGAAGAGATCAAACAAGCAACAAAAAATTTAAGTGATGAGACTAGTATTAGCCCAAGTGTTTACAAGGTGTTGATTGATAATGGTGAAGTGATGATCAAACAAATGAAATTTGAGGGTACCCGTCAAGTTATTGATGTACATTCAAAGATCAATCATGTCAACATTGTGAAGTTACATGGAGTTTGTTATGGAGAGGATGATTTTTCTTGGTCTTATTTGGTGTTTGAATTTCCTGTTAATGGAAGCTTAAGGGACTGTTTATCGAGCTCGTCTACTTCTCTTTCATGGCACAGGAGGACTCAAATTGCTTTTGACATTGCAACTGGCCTTCATTACTTGCATTATTGTGTTGTACCTTCTTATTTTTCACATGAGCATAAATAGCAAGGGTATATTTTTTACCTCAAATTGGAGGGCAAAACTCACAGTATTCAAAGCAATTCCCGCTGATGAGTCCTTAAAAGAATCTGGAAGTTTAACAAGTCCTGGAGGGTGGGTTGCTCCAGAATATGTTCTTTATGGCTCGGCGACTGAAAAGGTAGACATTTTTGCATTGAGCTTATATCAAGGAAAGAGACTGCAGATGGGAAATTATTTGAAGAATCAGTTACGTTTTTTGTAGGTGGAGCAAATGAAGGAGGCTGTTTTGAGCAGTTAAGAAACTTTTTGGATCCATGTCTAAAGGAAGATTATCCTATAGCAGAGGCCTTGTGTTTAGCGGTACTGGCTAGTTCATGTGTTAAACAAGACCTTTTGCGTTGGCCATCAATAGACGATGTCATTTAAAATTCTAGCAAGAATGGTTTGATTGAAGACAAAGAAAAAACTGACGTTATCCATCTAAGTGACACTTGTGGACTCTGAGCGTGACATCCAATGCTAGACGCTAGCTGGATGCTGGACGACATGACAGAAAAAATTGTGACCAAATTCTAATGAATACTCGTGTTGAGTTACTAGATTCATCATTATATGTTAGTGTTCTACAACTTCGTAAAGAGCGTAAGAATATAGAATGATCAATCAGTACTTGCTTTCTGAAATATGATCCTTCGTGAATTTGTGATATTATTTTGCCATGATTCATCATTAGTTTGCATGTTAGTGAGCCTATTAGTTTTTACTTGATACGAAAGCTAACCTTGATCGATGAGCAAGCCTTGTTTACCAACTAGCAACTGAATATTGGTGACATGGTTTAAACTAATATTGAATGAATACCATGTGAGAATTTCATTTGCCAAGTTATCTATTTCGTTTAATTTTTTATGGTAATTCACTGAGTGACGAATGAGATAATTTTTGATCAATTGAATGACTAGTTAAAAAAATTTAAACTCTAATGACCAATGAAAACATTATGAAAATTACAATCAATACTACATTTAAACCAATGGTGTGGTAAGGAAGACATCACAAACGGGTGATTTGGTTGGTAAAATTAATTATTTTTCCCCATTGTAGACTTTGCCTCATCAGGAGAACATATAATAATTGTGGGTTCACTATTCTTTTTGAATACTCGTTTTGTCATATCAAAGTGAATTGGATGGTACAATGATTTTTCCAATAAAAAAGTTGAATTTAAAATATTGGACAAATCTTCTTCAGTTGAAAGAGATTAATGATGTAACCGTAATATCTTTCTAACCAAAACCAATCTTTTATTTTTCTCAATTTATTGTTTTCCTATTTTATTTCTTATTAGTGGTTCAAAACGTGCACTATTAGGTCTTCTCTATCTAAGTTCATGTTTGGCTCCCATATTTTGAAACTTATTTTTTCCCGAACTCATTTTTAGTGTAGTTATAAAAAGATAGGATGCGAATATAATCATCCTTTAGTTAGTATTTAAAGGCTTTATGAGTTATCATTTTATTTGGTTGTTTTGCTTATATAAAATTTGAGATTTTTCTAATTTTATTGTCGAATTATGGTATTTTTTTTACTCCACATATATCCCGTATTCGCTTGATTAACTGATCTTTAGACGTGCATTGAATGTTTCATGCTTCACGTTGCATAAAATCTCAAGGGAATGTTGGATTGATTTATAGCTTTTGTCCACTATCATAAATGATAACACCAGTACAAACGAAGAAACAATACAATTGGTACAGATACTACAGAAAAAAGTAAGTACCACCTACAACTCATTTACCAATAATAATTCCCACAGAGTAGAATTTAGCACCTTCACATCTGTAGCCTCAACGAAGATCCACTGCCCAAGCCTCATCATCAGGAGTTTCTTCATAGTGTTAGGTATCAGAGAACAAGAATCGTGCAGCAGAAAATAAAATCGCGTGCAAGAAATCAAAAGAACGCCAGATTTCTTTTGCCACTAATCAAGGGCAGGGAATTCAGCAGGCCACTGCTTACGTCTCTCTTTAGAACTCTTTGCTAAATTGTGGAACATAATTATTGTCGTGTGTAGATACCGTACGCGAATCTACCTAGGGTGTGAGTTTTTCTTGTAAACTTCTTATGGTAGTTACGAAAGATAATGTAGTCCCACATTAACACAAACTTCTATAAATTTTGCTCATTTTTGTATGTCTATTTTCTTTCTGCGATATTATTACTCTCGATGGTATTAAATTAGGGTTTCTAATTCTCAACGCTCTCCTCAAAAATGACAGATATGTCCCCATTGCACTATTCACCATGAAACGGGTTTGCAATAGTTCAATGTTACAAGCACTACCAAGAACCGGAAGCCTATCCAAAAACACTCGCAGCACTTCAAACTTCAAAACAGTATATAACTACACCTACTACTCATAAGGATTATTGAAAGTTTGTTTACTTATCTGATTTAGTTTGTCCTTACGTGCGGAATATACAATTATAAACGACAAGTCACTTATTAATTATTTTTAGATGGTTACGCATGCAAGTCAAATTTTTCTTTGTTGAATTACTGTAGATTGTACTATGAAAGCAATAAATAACACCAATATTGTTATCGAAGAAACCCAACTGGGTAAAAACTCTGGGACCAAGTCAGATACCTCCACTATAGACAATGAGCCTTAGAGTTAGATATTGTCTAGCCAACTCCACTAGACTTTTCGATCCACCTTGTGTAATCTCCAAGATCTGCTGACTCCACTGGCTTCCCAATTATCTCCAATTGTCTCTTCCAAGTGAAATTTCAAGAATAGTCAATTCTTATGCTTTTCCCGTGCTTGCAGTCCACCTCTCCCAATGCCCAACTGAAAAAGTCTCTTCCTTATGGTGTTAAGAAGTTAGGTGTTTTGGATTCAAGTATTTGATGTTTTTCCAAATATGTGGTTGCAAGATCTCAAGAATCAAAGGATTGAATCAAGGTATGAGTAGGGTCTTGCATCACCAAAAGATTGATATGATTATGATATGTATATAAGGCATAATGAACAACCACCATAAAAAAGTACAAAGCTTGGATATTTATAGTTAGAGATTTTTAGGTATTATAGTCCATGTAAAACCTTTCAAAATTGCAAATTAGGGTTGGTCACATAACACGGTTACTCCAGCGAAAAATAAGCGACAAACTTTAAATTGAGCGAAGTTCGAGTGACAGGCTAGCGATGATCATTCTGTTTTTGTCGCTCGAACAATGTCTTGGCCAACAGCTAGCGAAAATGCGACGTCTCTTCTTTTCTTATTCCGGACTCGAATCCTAACTTGCCTGACTTATCTATACAAAATTGCATATAACTCCTTGACTTTACGCGTGTTCAATTTAGTCCTTTTTGTTCACAGAATCACCAATTACATAAAACCTAACAATGACACATTAATTTCTCAACAATTCATTCAGAAAATAAGACAACTGATAAGCCCCCAATTAAATACACATATTCTAGAAGAAACAATTAGAACGGAGAAAGGAGAAGGCAGTAACAAATTCTATTAGAAAGGTGCGGCGAGGTAGCCAAAATCTATTACATGAGTCTATAAATAGAAAAAGAGTGAGAGAAGAAAGATATGTTCATTTTAGTGAGTGAAATTAGTGTGTGGAGAGTCATAGTCCTCTCTAAATGCTGCTTGTAAATCCTTTCGTGTTTTGTAATTCCATTCCCAAATCAATACGGAATTTCATTTCTGTCTATGTGCTATTCTCATCTTGACTCCAGGTGGATCCCAACTGAATTCAAAGGCATAGTCTATCAATCTGGTGGAGCTGAATTCTAGTAGAAACAAGCTCTTTGCAAACAAGAAGAAATGTTCATTTGGGCAAACGGGGATAGAGTATCTCGGGCACATCATATTAGACAATGGAGTGGCAACAGACAAATACAAGTTATCTGCTATGAAAGACTGGCCACATCCTCAGACACTTAAAGAACTGTGGGGTGGGTGTTGACTAGATATTATCGACGGCTTGTGGAATCCTATGGAAAGATAGCTTGGCCGTGAACTCAACTACTAGAGAAAGATAGCTTCGGGTGGAATGACGCAACAGAGTCTACCTTCACAAAATTGAAAGAAGCAATGACAACGATGTCAGTATTGGCTCTTCCAGATTTTTTTACAAGTCTTCACAATTGAGACTGATACTTCTGGGCATGGGATAAGGGCTATCTTAATTAGGGGTGGGCATGGGTTGGGTTGGGTCAATTTTTGACTCAACCCAAACCCAACCCAACACGATTGGTTTGATTGAAAATCAACCCAACCCATTTATGTCTTTCAAACCAATCCAACCTAACCTAATCAAGTTACGGTCAGATTGGGTTGGGTTGGTCGATTTTGACTTTGCACAAAAAAGCCTAGTGGAAAATAGTTAGCAAACTAGAAATTACTCCACAAGACTGCAAAGTTGAATTAGAATGAAATCTAAAATCTTATACAAAGAGTACAAGCTAAAATTTAAAATAAAAGTCCAAAGCAATAAGGTAGTTAATTAATACCTGATAGACCTCAGAGGTTGCATTTGCATCCCAGCCAGCTTTTTCATTGCCATATCTCAATAAAATTAGAAGAGACTGCAATAACATGCCTGTGCATCCTCAGGATTTGTAGTTCCGCACAATGTGACTAGGAAAGGACCATTTGAAAACCTGTTGCAACACCTCTCAGACACATATTGGAGATTAAATTAAATGAAATGAAAGATCATCTTTCGTTTATGTAATCTTAAGTGAATGGTTTTGACCCAGATTTGATATGTATTTGTGAACAATGACCCAGGAAACTTAAATGACATAGTCTCCTCTGAATTATTCACAAATATAAACAATCTCCTCTAAATTATTTGCAAGTGTCCCAGTCTTCAGCTTTTTCATGAGCCTTTCTATATGAATAAATTATCAAATGAAATAACTGATAAAATTATAAGAGAGTGAAATAACATGCATGTTCCTCTCGTCTTCATTTAGTGAATTAAAAATTAAAATCTAGCCCAATATTCAAGATTAGCCTCATAAATTACGAACACCAACAAATATGTAAAGACATATTACTTGAAAATGCCTCAACAGAGAAGATAAGGGAATGGTAAAAAACATACATTTGCCCCAAATTCAATGAGTTTTTTCACACAGGAGGTCTTTCCATGGTTTCAATCGCCTCATTGATTTCTTCAGTTGATTCATAAGCTCCAGCCTTGTTGAAGAAAAAGAAAAAAAAAATTATTGGAGAAAATTGAAGAACTTTCAGCCTTCTTGAACAAAAGGAAAAAAACACAAACTATTGAAGAAGAATGAAGAACTTACAGGCATGAGCGATTAGTGACAATCGTGGATAATCAATAGATCGGCGGTGGCGATCTAAAGGGAGATCAGGAGAGCATAATAGAGAGAGAGAGAGAGAGAGAGAGAGATGAAAGATTAGGTTTTAGGTGTGCAACTTGTGAATTGTGCGTGTTTGGCTTCATTTTTTTTTATTTTTTTATTTTTTTATTTTTTTGAGACGGGTCGGGTTGGGTGGTTTATATCGGTTTTAATAGGTTAACCCATAATCCGACCCAACCCGAACTGTCTACTCAACCCATAAATCGAACCCACTTAAAAAATCTTAAAAAACTGACCCAACCCGGTCGAGTTGGGTCGGTTCGATCGATTTTGGCGGGTTCAGCCGAGTTTTGCCCACCTCTAATCTTAATGCAAAATTAGAGGCCAATTGCCTATTTCAGTCAGGTTCTTCCATCGAGAAACCACAAAAAGTCGATAAATGAAAGAGAGCTCATGGTTATCATACTGGCAGTACAAAAGTTGAGGCATTATTTGTGAAGGAGGCATTTTGTGGTTAGGACAGACCAAAAGAGCCTCAAGTTTTTCCTCGAGTAGCACTTGGTAAATGTTGAATATCAACAATGCCTAATGAAGTTCTTGGGATTCGATTTAGACATTGAATACAAACCAAGGCTCGAGGATAAAGTAGCAGATGCACTATCACAAAAGAGGACCGAGAACATATAGTTGGAGCAGATGACAAAGGCTGTAGAAGAAGACCATAAACTGAGCTGAATTATATCTGCTATAAGGGTTGATCCTTCTTCTTGCCAGGGTTATGTTATAGTTAGCGGGCTTTACTTTATAAAGACAGGGTCACCTTATCCAAAAATTAGCCATTTGTTTTGTTAGCATTATAGAAAGACGACGAGAGTAAGTTGGTCGATAGCATAAGTAAATATGGAATACACATTCACGACGCCATCTGTATGAGCAAATTTTGGAAGGAACTATTTTGTTTATAGGGAACTGAAGTTTAGTTCAACCTATCATCCCCAAATCGACAGCCAAAAGGAAGTAGTGTGTAACATCCCGAATTTTAAATCTTAATTCCATGTGGGCTAAATTTAATATTGGTAATTAAGCAAATAAAATGGTACATGTCGAGCCCAGTCGTCACACTAAAGTCCCAAAGTTTAAGTGATACACGCAACTCACTCATTTGTATAAATAGTTTATTTTGTTAACGTATATTTTTTGAATTTTATCACAAGTTGTTTGGGTCGAATATTTAAGTATTTTAAAAGTTAATAAAAAAAATATCGATATTTTATACTCATTTTGCAACTCGTGTTGAATAACATAAATTGGCCCGAAAAAAAATAATTTTGAATCAATTATATTCGAGTTATTTTGATATAAAGAAAATATTCTTATATGTGTGTGTGTGTGTGTGTGAACTTCCAAGGAATTTGAAATGATACATATTCATTCATTACATTATACAATAAATAATAAATTATTATTATATTTGAATTTCCACAACCAAACTGATGTGATTGATTGGTAATATAAAAATTATTTATTGATCAATTGATTTTCAAACTTTATTTTTGTACATTTATTTGACGTTTTACATAATTTGGAATTGTAAGCATCCAAATAGACGTTGTGTGTATATATAATATAGGCAAAAAAAATTATTCTTTTATCATGCATATGATTTTCACACGTTAACACATACACTTGTTGAAAAAGAGTGTTATTTGATCTACCAACCACTATTGAAATTTCACAAGTTGATTCTCATTTGTATACAAACATTCTGTCCATATTTTTACTTATTGTCTCAAAGGCATATTTCAGAATTTTTTTATATCATTTGAGGTAAGAATTTTGCAAGTAGTAAATTCTTATTTTTTTTGATATTTTTATAGATTTTGACATGAAATACTCTAAGGTTTTCGGGTCGATTTTTATGTTAAATCCTACATGATGGACCTTTAGATTGAATATGTTAAATCCTACGGGATTGACCGTTTTCTCAAATATATAAATCGCACAGGATATAGGAATTTTATGAAATTCCTTGAGCTATTGGATGTCGCGACCAATTTGCTCTAAATCTAGGAAATGTCGGTATGCCATATCATTTTATATTTATAACATGTTAATAAGAATATGCATGTATTTTTTATTGAGTATTTTTTTTAAAATACTCACTCTTACAATAACTTTCAGATTAGAACGAGTCGGATGGACGTGTGGCAGATTGACCAAGTGATGCTCATAGGGTTGACAAGTAAAATTTATAGAAATAATAATTTACAAAAAGTCTCATTTGAAGAACATATTTACGTTATCTGTTTTGCACATTACTTAATATTTTTTTCTTGTGCCCGAACATTTGGTAATTTATGATTTGATATCGAAATACTTTAAGATTTCAATTGATGTATAAACCTTTCACTTAAAATGTTGATTTATTATCGACTTATCGAACATATTTCAAATTTTGAAATGAAGTAGATTTGTGCTTTTTTTTTTCTAAAAAAAAAAAAGGATTTTTGGTAGTGCTTTAAGTCTAATTAAAAAAAATGAAATAGATTTTGGGGGCATTACATAGTAAATAGAGGAATAGAGACTTACCTACATTGTTTTACTTCTGCTTAGTCGAAAGACTGGTTTCGCTACCTTCATTGGGTTGAACTATCCTACAACACTTCCTTTCACGTGTCTGCACAACTCAATCATTTTCCTATAGTTTATGGATAGGATCCTCCCCGTCTGTAGTGTTTTTAAAATGGAACGACAACTGTATCATCTTTGGATCTGTAATTGACATAAAGAGATAAACTGTTGGATGAGCACAATAGAAAATGAAGAATTCAGCTGATAAGCATAGAAGGACGATCGAATTTTCGACTGGTAACATGGTTTATTTGAAAATGCGTCCCTATTTCCACAAATCTCTAGCACATCTTATCAACAGGAAGCTTGTCCCACGATAAGGTTTTAGCTAAGGTGGCGAAAGTTGCCTATCGATTGGAGCTGCCACCTGAAACACATATTCATCTGGTGTTTCATGTATCGCAATTGCGTAAGGCCGCCTGTCAATTTGGGAGCTGTCTGGGAATCATTGGTTGAACCAGAAATTGTGCTGGCAGGACTGCTTCGCTGGGGACAACAGATTGTTTGGAGTTGCTAATTCAGTGGAACCATCTCCACTGGAAAGTACTTGGGAGTTGGGAGCCATTCAGCCTCATTACTCAACAATTTCCCACCTTCCACCTTGCGGAAAAGGTGGCTGAATTGGGCGAGGTAATTGATAAGCCCCCAATTAAATACATGTATTCTAGGAGAAACAAGAAGATGTAGAATGGGGAGGCAGTAACAAATTCTGTTAGAAGGGTGGGGTCGGGTAGCCAAAATCTGTCACATGAGACTATAAATAGAATAAGAGTGAGAGAAGATGGATATGTCAATTTTATTTAGTGAAATCGGTGTGTGGAAAGTCACAGCCCTCTCTAACAGCTGTTTGTAATTCCTTTCGTGTTTTGTAATTCCGTTTCCAAATCAATACAGAATTTCATTTATGTTTCTGTGCTATTCTCATCTTGACTCCAAGTAGATCCCAGATGAACTCAAAGGCAGATTTTATCAACAATAATAAAACCTTTTTATATTATCATCAATGGACAGAAAGGATCAAATCTTGTAAATCAACTCTGGGTAGTAGTCTTTTCAGTTTTATAGTTTCGGATTAAGCTTCCTTCCTAGCAATCTGGAAGTTTTTCTCAGATACAATAAAATGGTTCAATTCCAGAGCTAAATCATAACTTTTGCATGAACAATCGAAAAGATTCTGGAGCATACTCAGGGTTAGGTATTATTCTCTACAAATAAAGTTATTGGTATGTAGTTGATAGATATGCAAAATCAAGTAGAACAGTAAGGATTCTATTGAAAGAAGAAAGGAGCAATTAAGTGCCATGGGATTTAAAGAGAGTTTTTCTCTCTATTTGTGAAGATGAATAGTTCCCGAGTACTTTTTTCTCTATCTATTAATGAAGAACAAGATTATTTCAAATACATAATGATAATAAACTTGCTAATAACGGTGAAATATGTTCTTATTTTTGTCTGTTTGGAGACTTCTTAAATGGCTCATCTATTGACAATCACTTGGACAAATAGGAATTTTGCTACCTTTTTTTTTATTATTATGTTATTGGAATTTATTATTAACAACGGTGAAATATGTTCTTATTTTTGTCTGTTTGGAGACTTGTTAAATGACTCATCTACTTGAAAATCACTTGAACAAATAGGTATTTTATTGCAATAAATTCTTAGTTTTGTTCTCTTTGTTAAGAAAAATGAATTGATTAGCCAAGATAAGAATGCAAAAAAAAGGATCAATTATCTTAAGCCATCTACTCGAGCAAATATCAGGTCCATTAACTGAAACATGCCTCACGTTATTGCAAATATATTTATCGCACATTTCTGTTCACTGCACTTATGATTTAACCTCAGGAAAGCTTGCGTTTCACTTTAGTTTCTTATCTGTTATTCCTCTTGCTGTTTGTAGCTTATTGGTTAGAATAATAATTAGTAACTTTTGGCCCCATTCCTTTAGTCCTTCTCTTTTTTATGTTATATTTTTTGTGATTTTATCTGCTTAATTGTCTTTTATTACCTACTACCTTTTCTGATTGGATCCAGAAAGGTAATACTGATTATTATAAATTCAAAAGGTCGAATATTGGTTGCAAGATCTCCACATCACACGCATGAAGCATATGTGGTCACATGCTCGTAAAGTATATCTTCCAATAGTTAAAAAAAAAAAAAAAAAAAATCTTCTTTGCTCGTATTATAAGAAAAATGGGCATAAAAATATCACCTTTATTAAATTCATAATAAATAAATAATCGAAAGAATACAATACTCGAGGGTATTAATGACAATGATAGTTAAGTACACTGAAGACGGAATCGTATGGATTACCATCTCTATAGTATGGTAACACGCTCTCTAATGGTGTAACTAGCCAGATCATTAATTATTATGAAAATAACTAATAATGATCCATATGAATAATACTTTTACATATATAGTAAAGAAAATTTCAGTTCTCATTATCTCTTGGTCTATAGAGCTTTATACGACGATGGTTTATTGGTTGGATTGGTCTTGCATTGGTCTCGTACTCCTGTAATCATGAAAGAAGTTGTAAGAAAATCACATAAAGAAAAAGAGAAGTGTGGACTACAAACAGTTTTTTCTCTTAAAATGTAAGAGTTTCTACATAAATTTTCTGTAGGTAGATTTGATTATAGAAACTTACATCATGTACTGCTTCGCGAAACAGTTTTACTTGTTCTCTCGTAACGGTCCTTACCTGATAAAATTTCGAGACACAATTAGATAGTTTCTAACATGTTTGATACGTTGGACTAAGCAACACTTGATAGGACTAAGACATAAAAATAAGTTAAAATCTTGTTCTTGTCCTATACAATGTTGTCGTCTATTAATTAGCTAGAGTGATGGAGCTTACCTTTCTCAAAATTGTCCAACTAACATCTTGAGTGCAAGGAGGAACTGTAAGTGAACCAATGTACCTGTAATACTTTCTACTGCCCAGTTTAATAAGTTTTGGGTCAATAATACCCACTGCTCTCTCAACATTACGCGTATCAACAAGAGCTTTAAAATCTTGCTTCATCTAAAATATAAAGAATAAATAGTATAAGAAATCGACTGAAAGACGTGCAAACAAAGATGTTTGTGGACACTGTTTAACTTATGGTTAATTACCATGGACAAGAAGGAGTCAGGGCGCCCAATTTTGTACATGATTCCAATCACAGCAGTCCTATTATCCATGCTCTCATGGACCATGTGAATCTCCAAATCAAACCTGTAGCCGAATGTTGTTATATGTTTTTTATATCAATTTAAAAAATAAAAAAATTTATTAAGAAATGGATTCATGTTTTGGAAAGGAAATTGATTTTATTTAAGTACCTCCTGCCATTGAGAGTGTGTTCTGAAGGTGAATGCCAATGACATTGTCTAAGTTGATATAGTGTTCCATTTATCTGAATACTCCCTGCACCAGCTTCCCAACTTAACTGCATTCATAAGTACTATTCAATAACAAGGAAAACCACCGGAGCATGTAGAATATAAAATACAAAATAAATAACCAGAAGCGGATTTAGGGCCTGGCTGGCCCAGGCTATATTTATGTGAAATATTTATTTATTTTTACGTATCATCCCAGCATCAAAATTTTTCTAGTGCAATCCTGGCTCGCCCTGTAAATATATTAGGTTATTAAACCTTACCATCATATCATGACCTCTATTGATTAGGGTGGCATTGGAGGGCTTATAATCCCTGTGAAGCCTCCCCAAGTGAGAGACAACTTCAACCCTTTCATTCAGCAGATCAATGGGAGACTGCGTTGAGCCAGAGTTGCACATCCTCCATTCTGGCTTAATCTCTCCCCAGTGTGCCGGACCGTTTTTGCTATCTTCTTCATAACTAAACTCACTCTCATCATCTACAATAAAAAAAATGAAATGAATCAATCATTAAAGAAGGGGAAAAAAATGGAAAAAGAACAAGAGACACAACAGAGCAAGCTATGCATGCATAACAATGGTTTCTGTTATAAGTTTTCGACACTACTTACCAACTTCTTGTGATTTTGTTAAGCCTAAAAATGAAACTAAAACAATAACAATCAAGAACTTCTTAAAAAAAGTTGTGGTTTTAAGGTTATTCATTTCCGATTTCTTCTCCCAGTTGTATTTGAGAAATATGGAGTTGTTAAGGAAGAGGGTTATATATATATATATACATATATATAGACACTTACACGCACAGTAGTAATGAACGTTCAGAGGAAGTAGTTGATTTGGTTTTGACATTCATGTAGTCCATTGTGATAAATTTCGCCCCTCTTTGGAATCCATTAAAATGAGGTTTCGGAGGAAACAAGTGTTTTGAAATAATGATTTTTTTAGAGAACGTGTTATTAAAATATAAATAATTTTTTTTTATTTACGTGTGAAAGTTAATTTTTTAACTCGAAAATCACCTAGAATGGGATGAATATGTGAATAACAAAGAACTAAAATTATCAATTAAAAGCAACAAGTCACATCTTAATTGTTCCAGATGTTTAGTCAATCAAGTCAATTTTGTCCTATGTAGAAATGTCGCAATAGTAAATAAAGTAGTAAATAACACAAGATATATTGACGGATAAAATCTTCTATGAGATTAAAAACTTCAGGACCAAGCCAGTGACTTCCACTATAAACAATAAGAACTTATAATATGATCTAGCTTAAAAAATCCACTAGACTTTTTGATCTAATTCCTACAATCTTCAAAATTCGCTGAAACGTGCTTCACTCATACCTACTTCCAATCTTCTGAAATTGTCTATCTTAAATGGATCACCAAAAATACCTTGTTCTCATACTCTTCTTGTACTTATGGTCCAACCTCTCACTATTTTCAATAACATTTGAAATCTATTAAGGAAGTACATTCTTGATTACATTTAAGAAGTGTGTGTTTTGGATTATAAGTGTGTTTTGGATTATAAGATTTTGATGTTTTTTCCAATTTGTTTCGATTGATTTCAAGATAAAGAATTATTGTTTGATCTTCAAAGAATGTTATGAAGACAAAAAATAATGATCAACCATAGTTTTTTTGAAGTGGGGCTTGTGTTATAGTAGAGATGTACTAGGATAATCTACGATAGATAAACTCTTAAAAATCACAAACTAGGATTTCTTAAGAAACACAGTTGCTCAAACCTCAAGCTAGCACGAGACAGGCGACAATAATTCTATTTTGGGCGCTCGAGCACAGCTTGATGACAAGTTAGCTTAATTACGGTGACTCTTTCTCCATATTTCATACTCGAATCCAAAACCTCTTATTTCATCTATACAACATTCCAAAAGATTCCTTGACTTTTACAACTCTTTTATAATAATCATTTTGTCTAAAAATTATCCAATACAACTTAAAATCTAACAATATGTCACATTATTTCATGGGTAAATGTGAAATTGAAAATGAATTTTGAAAAAATCACTTTTAAAATATGAATCTGAAACAGGAGCTTCATTTTGAGGTGGCAGAATTGTACTAGGGGAAAGACTTCTGGAAACGCCGTTTGAAATTCTCTTTGTCTACTTCTTTTGCAAAAAATAATTAATAGACGTCAATGCTGACGAATCGTGAAGAAAAAGGTTCGGGAACATGTCCTTGGTGGTCTGATTTTAAAATGATTTGTTTGAGAATTGATGAATTGTTATTATTATAATATGATATCATCATTAAAATGTAGAATATTTTAATGATATTTGTCTTTGAATGGACATTTCCCGCCCACCCACCAACGAATTTTATGTTCCAATTTTTGTCACATGTGGTTTGAACTTTGAATATTGGCCATGGAAAATAGGAACGACTCGGTTGTTGGATATTGAATTAATTTAGTATAAAAACATGAACCTTCAAGGCTTATGATTACAAAAATCTTCAACATTGTGATCGTTCGGTCCATGAGAAAAATTATTGTTTATTGCAATCATCGAGAAAGTGTGTTCATTTATATAACTTGAAAATATTTGCTAAATAAAATTTAATATGAATAAAGTAATTATGCAATAAAATTAAGAGTTCATAAATATTATCTAATTTAATGTATTCAGTCCACGTTACATGCATAGATTTATAAATAATATTTCAATATAACATAATCAAAAGTCCACTTTTGGATCCTCAAATAACTTGAGCATTGACTACGATAATTTTGATCTGAAATAAATCTACTCAACAGGCATTTGATAGGATTAGGTGACAGGTACTAAATTTGACAGGGAGTTAATTTTTTATTTTTTTTCAAACCATCCAATGAATATTTGACATATGTCCATTATTTTTAAATTTTGTCATTGACCCTATTTTGTAGCAAAATTACTCACTCTACAAAAGATTTTTACGATGACCTTTCCACAGTTTTAGGACTGGGTAAAAAGTTTTGTGGCAACAAACAACATTCGAAGAGGTATTTATCACGATGTTACTCTAGTATCTAAGCCATGGTACATACATATTATGTAATCGGTTTTAAAATCTTTCGACCACAGCAATTGCGAATACACTGCATTAAATAATTAATATGTAATTAATATATTTGCCGTAGTTAATACTTTAATCTTAGCACTAGCAAAACAAAAAATCAACTTCGTCTATAAAAGTTAAACTAAAATACAATATTAATACCATATTTATGGTTAACAATCTCGTTCAAGTCTATCGAAAATCTCAAGAAAGTAACATATATAGCAATATGTATCGAAACAATTCCATTGATCTTTTATCGTCAGCACATGCTAAGCATCTATCATGAAAATCCATTATTCTAAAAAACACGGCTTATGTCTGGTATATTTTTCATTCTCATTTTTACAAAAATAGAAAACAAACGCCTCCTAAAATAATACATTATATTATTATTTGGTGTTGATCTCGCGAATTGGACTTCCATGTAGCCAACGGAGAGCCACTCCGCGTGTTTCTCCCTGCGCACGATAACACACGATCAGGAGCATACGACCAAAACCAGCTGGGGTGGCGGCGATCGCATATACTCCGACGGTCAAATCAGTGGTCGATAATCAGAACGGTGCCGGAATTGTGTAAGAGAGTGGGAAGGATAATAAATAATACTTGAATGTGGAGTGTCAAGTTTTGAGAGAGTTTTATTACCTTTGTCTCTTGCCAAATCTTGAATATTTATAGATGAGGAGCGTCGTTGAATGTGGGACATTTGTATGCATCTAACGGTGTGAGACGTCTGCTCGTAGGTGTCAAACAGTCGCGTCTAGAGTGGATGGATTATTAATTCTCATGAGTTGAGTTGACAAAAAGTTTATGTCACATCAACTAGACCCATGAAGATGTCACATCCACAAAGGATCCTGACACATATGCTTTTGAAATTGGCGACGGAGGGATCTATTAAGGGAGCACCTCGGAGTGCCCAATACTTCGGTTTCAGGGGGATGCTTTGGTTGTTTCAATAGATTTAGTTTGTGATGTCTGTGCCTTGCGGTGTGTCAAGTTGGAGTTCGGTCGAGGTTGACATCGCTTCGAAACCACTTCGTAGGGATACGTGGCGCCTCAGCCTTGTTGTGCCGAAGTGGTTTGATGAGGGGCGTAACAGTGGTCCCCCAAGTTCAGGCATAAATATTCATATCATGGGTGGACTTGTTTATCCGATTATGTTGATCTTAGAGGAGATTTGTAGTATCTGGTGAAGTGTTAATGCCAAAGCGTGAAGTGAGTAGATTTGTGAAGTGCAGTTAGCTTTCGCCCAAAGCGTGTGAGCCATGATGCTAAAGGTAAGAGAAGGGAGATGGTCAAAGCTTTGTAAAGCTTGGAAACGCTGCGTCCAAGGCGAAGACCCTCAGGTGCGTTGAAACACTGTAAAGCTGAGGAAAAAACGTATCTACTACTGGTGTGTTGACCCACAAGGGACGACGCGTTGGGAGATGGCTTAAGCTTTGTAAAACTTAGAAACGCTGCATCCGAGGTGAAGACCCATAGGGGTCTTGGCATCAGGTTCGCTGAAGCTTTGTAAAGCTAATGAACTTGATATGAAGTGCCCCAATTGTGAAGTTGTTGCGTGTTTTCAAAGCGACAATTGTGTGTGATGCGAAATTCCATAAAAGGCTGTCGCTGCCATTTATTGTAGACGGCTATTGGAGATCGAGGCGAAGCATTTAATGCGTGCGAGAGAGTATCAGCAAGATCTTGGGCATTGATTAAATTTGGCGTTTCGTTTAAACAGTTCCAGATTTGGGATATGATGAATGACCCAGATTGACAGTTTTTGAATTTGACGGTGTAGATCACCTGGGGCTCCTTATAAAAGGACGCCTTAGTGCCATTCAAAAGTTTTCACTTTTACAAACTCAAAAAACCCCTATTGTTGTCAAATTCTTTGGTGATTTTCGACGATTATCGAGTTTTTCTATGATCTTCGGCGACTTTCGTTTGAGCTTCGGTTTGAGCTTTTCGACATTAGAATACTAATTCCAGTTGACTTTCGTAAGTATCTATTTAGTTTTTTACAATTTTTATTGAAAAATATGGCCTCTGAGGGTAGTGGGTTGTCTGGGAGGGAACTGAAATAGTGAAGGTGGACCAACCTATCTTGGCAACCTCTTCAGAACTGTCCGAGGCAATATTGGGGAGGAGAAGCTTGGGGGCGACCTAACAGCCCAGTAGACACTTCTGTACATTGGGAGGCATCTGACTACCCTTCCAAACTCAAGTCTGCCAACCTTAATAGACTTAGGAAAGAGTATAGGATCCCAGATAGTGTGGGTCTGATTTTGCCAGAGCCGAATGAGCGGGCCTGTTACACTAGGCCGGGGTGTGTGGCCATTAGTGAGGCCATTCTCAGGGCGGGGCTTAGGTTATCCATTCATCCTTTCTTTAGGTATGTTCTGAGGTCCCATAACTTAGCTCCGACCAAGTTAAACCTAAACTCTTGGAGCCAAATGGTTGGGTCGTGGATGCTATGGAAAGAGGCATCTTATGGAATGAAGATGTCTTTCTTTGTCTTCCAAACCCTATACATTCCTAAGGTGGCAGCGAGAAGTGATAGGACCAGGGGGTGGTCTTTTCTGACCTCATGGAGCTCCCACACTCCATTCGTGCTCGATTTACTAAGTTCTATTAAAGGTTGGAAGAGCTCGTGGTACTGGGCTTCCTGGA